TTTACTGTAGAATGATTCGATTCACATGCATCAAGCATGTTCATCAAGTAAAGAAAGTAGGAATGTTACAGGGGTGAATTAGGTGGTTGTATATTGTGTACGTAAATGAATAACTAATCATCATTATCTTATATCAGGATATAGTGGTCTCGCAGACGACGAATTCTTTATGCATTTAAATTGCAATTAGTTGTTAGTTCAGCTGCCTCTTGTCCTTCTGTTTCAGTGAGTGAGTGATTGAGTTTAGTTTACATGGCGGCTGTATGTAAATAATCGAGTGTGCACCAGACAATCCAGTGATCAACATCATGAGCATCGATCTGCACGATTGGGAACCGATGATATGTGTAAACCAAGTCAGCGAGCCTGACCACCCGATCCCGTTAATCGCCTCTTACGACAAACACGAGTTCCTGAAGATACCTTCTAACCCGGACCTTCACGGGTGTCTTTGTGTTTCATGTACTGTTCTGTGTGACAGTTTGGTTAGAATCAAAGGTTAGTTATTATGCATTATAATATAACATACATAGTAAATAAAACCCTAATATTAATCATTACACAAAATAGGTACAAATATTCCAATGATAACAAAATAAAAGTCAATACACAATATACCATTTAACGTGTATGAATGTACTTATGGTAGTTTTGTATATGTCCAGTCAATATGTTGGCTAGTAGTTGTTGTCTGGTAACTATTTTCTGTATCATGTAAGATTGATACATCTCATCTATCATGTATATTGTATGTACTTGACAAAGATTACATTTGATCAGTGTGTGGTACCTATATAGGGTTATTGCATGCGATGACTGTTCGGCTGCTGGATGTGCAAACCCATTCTCGTGTCACCCACAGGATAGGTTATTTGTACAGTATCTATTGTCTATTTCATTATTATACCATGTATTATTATAAGTCTTTATGTCAACACTCATTTTGTATATAACTGTAAACACGTGATCACGTAAGTCACCTGTGTTATATTGCATCGCGTAATACCGGTATATGACTGTTGGTAGGCACATTTATGCACTATATGTATTATAAGATGACATGTTCATCATATGTTGTATATATCGTGTATATTATTGTTATTAGAGGGTGTCTTCTTCCACCACGATATGGAAATAAACAGATATCTCACTCATAACCCGTAGTCTGTGGTTAATAACACATTGGAACTCCGCCATATCATGGCTGCCACAGGAACACAACTATTAGCGATACAAATGTATTTCTATTTCTTGGAACTTGAAGACAAAAGAATAGTATAAAGCAGGATGTTTTGTAGTCAGGCGGGAGCGGAAGAAAATTTATTAAAGTAGCGAATATGGTGTCGAGTAAAACATCAGACATGCTCATTTTAGCCGACTGCTACAAATTGGCCTGTTAGAATTTTGTTTGAATGAATATGCTAGCCGTATATGATATTGCATCATGGAGAAACTCACTGGTCTGTGATTATTTGTATAACTGACGGTGTAGCTGCGAATTGATGCGGCTTTGAGCACTATTTTTTCACTCACTGACGTTAATATATTTCCAGCTTCCGGACACTTTCATGTTTTCACTTTTATTGGACATTCATATTCACAATTTCGTTTGTTAAATTATATTTAACACGTTGAGGATTACATAGTACATAGGAAATCGGAACAACGGCAGCGGACTTATATACACTACCCTACACATGGTGTATGTAAATTACATAGCATTTTCAAGCTATGTCATAAGTTTGCTAAATGCTACTTGGGAAATCAAAAGCACGAAAGAAGCATGACCACAGCACTACTAAGATGCGCATGCGCCTTGACCTTATGATATTACGCATGCGCAACAACAGCGTCTAAAACGCGAGATCGCGAGAACGCGAGAAAATGAAATGTCGCATTCTCGCGTTCTCGCGATTTCGTGTTTTTGTGGCCATATTTGATAAGTCGAGATTGCGAGAATGCGAGATTTGACAGCATGTACAAATGTCGCATTCTCGCGATCTCGACTTTTGACAAAAAGTGCTATGTACCAAAACACGAGAATGCGAGATCGCGAGAACGCGAGATTTTGGCCAAATCTCGCGTTCTCGCGATCTCGCATTCTCGCACTTTTAGCATTTTTAGCTTGTTTCCAAAGGTCGAGATCGCGAGAATGCGAGAATGCGAGATCGCGAGAATGTCCCTTACAGTATTCCATATGAACACCATAAAAAGTGTTCCAATATATTATGATTAGATGTATATTTGATGTATCTGTAAAACAATATGTGATTTACACACGAGTGTGCGATTGATATCTGTGTGTTAACTCTTTCACAGACACACGCAGGCACACACACACACGTTGTGTGTGTGGGGGTGGATGGTGTGTGTGTGTGTGGGGGGTGTACTCGGCGTGAATAATGAAGGGTCAATCTATCAGTAGCACTACTACTTTAAAGTTGCAAAATTTTCGTTGAAACATACACAACTATATATATATGTGTTTCACGAACTTTCTTAACAATTTGGAAAAAAAACAACAGGCTTTTGAAATGTCATTATTACGTTCTTTCACGTCCGATACATTCTGTTACAGATCATGGCACATTTATGTTTAAATTGTCAATATTGAAATCCACCTGCCACTTAATGTCAATGATTTTCACGTGCAAGTCGTTCTATCCATGGAAAGTGGAGGACAATACACATGCATTGATGCTTTTCACTGCCGATCACTGTTCGCAGCTTGAAATGAGACGTTTTTTGACACTTGCTGAAAGGGGTAAGGCTATATGCCTTTTGGAATTGGTCAAACTCAGAGCTTACATGTAATACTTAAATGAATAGTGGACTTACTGTATGTCAGTAAATGTAAAAACTGTTTTCTACTTTGGGGGAATATTGGTTTGGACTAGCAGAAGCACAACTGCAGCCTGGTTCCCTGGGTCTGTTGCGCCTGCGCTAACGGAGCGTAGCGCAGGCGCAACGGACCCAGGGAACCAGGCTGGCACAACTGCTGCATTTTGCTATCATTGCACGTTTCTCTTCAGAATAGATTAAACTGTGCAGAGCGAATGTGGCTCGTTTAAGGAAGGAGGGGCTATCTCGAATTTTCGAGTTTTGAAAATAGCTTTGAAAGAATGTACCTGACGTGAACTTCCACCCTTGACGGTATTTGTAGACTTTTTTCAACTGTAAGGACATCAAAACCTCATATGATCAGGTACTAGCAACATAACGTGTTTACTTACACTGGCAACAGTGTTCTGTGTATAGTGTCGGTGATAGAGTTTATACAGGGGTACCCTAATGGCTAAAGCGTTCGCTCGTCAGGCCGAAGACACGGGTTCGATTCCCACATGGGTAGAATGTGGTAAGCCCACTTTTGGTGACCCCTGTCGTGATATTGCTGGAATATTGCTACATCAACTCACTCACCATCACAGTCATGCATCCCCAGTAGATGTGGTCGAGTTTAATGTTGTATTCATGAAGCCTGTGAGTCAGTTGGTGCACACCCGTGTTTCGTCTCCAGGATCAATTACTTATGTAGGCTGGTTATATGTGTCCAGGGTCTTCCAAGGCCACTTATAAGGTCCCATGTATTGTTCAACATATATTTCAGTTTTCCGGTAGCTAAGTTCATTTTTCTACAGTCTGAAGCATTATTACATTTTTTAATATGTTGATGACAATTTATTCATTTTGATGTCAGAGAGAGTACAAAAGACACGATAACGGGGGACACGTGACATTGTATCAATGTGTACCCGGTCGTAGGCTTATCGATATCACGGCGGGGCAAACCAGAAATGGTCTTCGCACATGTGGGAGATCGAACCCGGGTCTTTAACTACTAGGCTACCCATAGCCCCGCAGATAAGTGCAGTTTCTTCACTGAATTGTGCACTTTGTGTTACAAGCATGAAATTTGGCATGATTGTATACGTAGCTTATACCCTTCTTATTAAATAAAGATCGAGAGGCATCGCAGATGTTTTATATTTTTTCTTAATTTTAGGGGGGAAAGTGGAAAAAAAGTATTTTTTTAACTATTTTCATCATAACTTCTTTTAAAATTCTCCAATTCTCATAAGTCAGATATCAAATTGTAGCAAATTCATAGCTGATCATTTTCCATCTATACATGCGGTCTACGGAAGTCAATTTATACCATGACTACCCGAAAATGGGAAAAATTGGTTGTGTTGGCCATAGCTGCAACAAGCATTCTCGAGGTTGGGTAGTATGGGTGGGGTTTGGTACCGGAAAACACATCTGCTATATTGTAATTCATGAACTTGCATCAGGTCTGGGTCCTGAGAAAAGTAGATCCCTTCCAAGGTTTCACAGCTTCACAGCCTGTGACAGTGTGTCATCCTTTGATAGAATTGAAAAGAAGACCTCGTGGAATGCATGGAACGCTTTCCCTGAACTTACAGGCATCTTTATTTCCCTCGCCTGTCGACCACTTGAAATCACTAATGCACAGATTCATCAGCTTGAGAGATTTGTTGTGCTGCTGTATGACAGAGCAAGCAACCAAAATGATCAGCTATGAATTTCCTACAATTCGGTATATGACCTATGAGAATTGGAGAATTTTAAAAGATGTTATGATGAAAATAGTAAACAAAATAATATTTTTTCACTTTTCCCAAAAAAATTAAGAAAAATATAAAACATCTGCGAGGCCTCTCGATCTTTATTTAATAAGAAGGGTATAAGTTACAATCATGCCAAATTTCATGCTTGTAACACAAAGTGCACAATTTGATCAATTATCCGCTGGGCTACCAACCACCCGGGAGTACTAAAGAGAGTTAGCGAGTCAAAGAGAGACAGACAGACACACACACACACACACACACACAGACACACAGACACACACACACACACACACACACACACTCACTCACTCACTCACTCACTCACTCACTCACTCACTGGAGGAATTTAGGAATGAAGGAGGGTATATCAGATCACTAATGACCGACCCCGACATCAACAAACACAGATCATATGCAGACCTTTTATTTAGCGCTAGTCTTGCAAATCTTCAGACTAGCCTGAAGTGAACTGACTGCATCATTGGAACCAATCTGGAAGATGTTACCAGGTTTTGAAGCAAGGCTGTAGACAGTGGAATTGACCTCCACATCAGAGAGAGCGACAACAAATACCTCAGCTTTAGCATGCAGTCGACCAATGTTTGCATCGATCACCTCCCTATCCTTCTCTGTAGCAAACCCATCTGTGAACATGATGACCACGTTCTGAGCATTCGGTCGGTCGCCTTCTGACAGTGTGAAAACTGAATTAACAGCCACTTTGATAGCCTCGCCAAAGTCCGTAGTAGAACCGCTTTCGTATGCCTCGTTCTTGATAGCTGCCAATACGCTTGACTTACTGTTGCTGTATTCACTCAAGCTGAATACCACTCTGGCGTTTGTAGAAAACACCATATATGCAACATTATCATCATAATAGTCAATGGTTAAAGGACTTATCAAACTTTCTTGAAATTGTGTCACTCTGTTAAAGGCGGTTTTGCCAACGGAGAGAGATACATCTTCCATGATGAGAATGTCTTGTCGATCTCGACTGCAAGCTGCAAAAAAAGAAAACACGTGCAAAATACAAAGGTTGTTCCTTGTATGTTGATGAAGGGAGGTATCGATGGTGATTGTTTTTGTCTTTTATAAAGTGAGTGTTACAGAGTTTGTAGTAATGTCACTTAACAGCGCCATATAGCTGGAATATTGCTGAGTGCGGCGTAAAACTAAACTCACTCACTCACTTAACAGAAGACAACCCCTGTTTCAGCTTCACACATTTAAGAAAGAAAGTTCACATTGTGGTGGTTTACTGGGATCTGAACTCTTTGTTCCGGCGTTCACACAGGATTTTATCTTATATCGTTCAAAACGCTCATCCTCCAGTATTGACAGCTGCAGGTAACCAGGCTCAAATGAACAGTATCAACCCAGCTGTCGTTCATTTCCCGATGAAAGTCAGTATGTCGCGTGATTACGCTGTCAACAGAGTGGACAGTTACAGAACAGTCAATATATTTCAAGCCAATCACATCACGGATTTGCTCAAGTGAAACACTGCCTTCAACAAATACAACTTCGATCCTTATATACTGACAGTTACATGAATAATAACAAAACAATCCATTCAAACACCACTTGTACTTATAATGAACGTCAACAAATCTGTAATCCTTAAAAGCAAACCACCTCAATGTTAAATACATTTCTTATATAAATTCGTGTTTTGTAGTGTAAGAGATAGGTTTTTGTTAATTAAAATGACATTTTAACAGTTGCATGATTAAAAGCCAAACATTCCATTCAAATACCACATGAAATCATAATGAACATCAACGCTTACAACTTTAATCTTCAATCAAACCACCACAATGTGAATTTCGTATGTTGAAGTTTTAGGGATACTAATTCAACTGTGACGCACATTTTTGGCGATTTATGTAACCAGCTAGTACTGAATGTAGTGACCCAATAGCGGTGTATACTTCACATTTACGCAAAACAAAGTAATTCCAATTCCACGAATAAATACAGAAATCCTCACTAATCAATGAGAGTTAATTTTATTAACATAATATCAGAAATGACGTTTAATCAACGCATATGGTTACAGTATTGTTTGGTTCATTTGCATTAAATAAACTACTGACAAACACGCGGCGCATGAATACTGAGAGTGAGCAACATTCAAAATGGAAACTGCAAGAAATGAACGCCTCGTACAAAGCAGATACATATTGCCGGATTAATTTGGGTTTGGATTTTTCACATTGTATATGAAATTACAGTTGTTGAAAATGCCTTGTGACATCATGCCACTTGTTGGGTCTGCAATGTTTGACGTGAATTGGGAGTGGGAGGACGCTCTCAGAAGGTCAGTTTAATATGTTGACATTTTTTCAGGATAATTACTTCATGTAGTGTGTACGTGTAAGTACGTGTTCTAATGAAACCTTCTGTGAAAAGGAAAGGTTAATTCATTATCCGACATTGCCGATGCTGAAGATTGTTTTAAGCTGGAGGAACAATAGGAAATGGTTCCACACAGGGATTCTACATGGAAAGTAGTTCCGGTCAGAAATCGTGCAAATTGTAAGTTGGGATCAGCAAATACAGCAACCAAATCAGCGAGAACCCTCCAAACACCAGAATAAGTTGTTTAAGAAATACAGTTCGCTCTACCACCATGTATAGTGTAATAAAACACAATTTTGCCCTGAACTATTATAGTTAAAGTACGAGGACGCTTGCGTGGTAGAGCGAACTGTATTTCTTTTCTAAGATGCCAAATTTAATACTTTCTAAGGATAATTACGATTAATTTAAGGCAGAAAACAAACGACGGTGACGGTGACCTAAATTAAGAATCATCGCACAGGGCTAACAGGCGCGCTGTTCTATTGATGTGTCTGCCCCCCCTTTGTTAAGACAAACGTTACCAGAAGAAAAAAAATGATAACAGTTTGATGACGGTTTACGTTCGGATTAAATATCTTCTCTGAATAATTAAATCAGCGAGAACCCCCCCAACTCCAAAATAAGAAGTTGTATACAGATAACATTTGTTACAGTTTTACACAAATGTAGATAACCATTGATACAGTGTTTGTGATATGCAGATACCTATGTTGCAGTGCTATACTTGTACATTAACGTACGATGTTGCACATACATAGATAAAGTTTGTCATAATCCAATACAAAAACTCTATTCGAGAAATAATATCTCTTAGAATGTCCGTTCTTGATGAATATTTGTTCACAGTACAATATGACGTCACAGGGTACACATCAGGTCACAGTTTACGCAGTATATATACTAGTGTGGGGAGAGGGTCAACTTATCCGTGTCCCCAACTGAGAAAGTCTGAGGCCTACATCATCCCGGGTATCTTCCTACTTCCTACATAGTGCACACATGCTTAAATACTCGGCGTCACTAATGAAGGGTCAAGCTGTTCGTAACACTGTTTCCTAAAAATTGCAAAATCTTCCTTTTTATTTGAAATATATACAACTGATTGTTTTACAAACTTTCTTCACAATTTGGAAAAATACATCAGGCCTTTGTAATGTCAATATTATGTTCTTTAACGTCCGATACATTCTGTTACACATGGCACATTTTTTATTCAAATTGTCAATATGGAAATCCACCTGCCACTTAATGTCAGTGATTTGCACGTGCAAGTCGCTCTAACCATGGAAAGTGGAGGACAATACACATGCATTGACGCTTTTATGGTTGACCCTCTTTACTCCAAGACGACAAAGCAAGGCTTCATACGGCCAGGATTGTCACGGAATTGCCTAGGCAGCAGGGTGGAGAGCGGATGGAGTGACCAGCATGCTCCCAAGACCTCAACCCAATTGAGCATGCCTGGGACGAGGGACGAGGTACGAACTCGTTCGACGTGTGTACACACGTCACCCATCACCCATCACCAGTGAATTTCTCAGGACTCCTCAGAGATCTAGTAGAGGAATGGAATGCAATTCCACAAGCTTTCTATATGAACTTGATAAGGAGCATGAGAACAAGGTGCACCTGCGTCTTGGACGTGGGAGGAGGGCACACAAGATATTGAATGACCGAGTGCTTCATGTTTGTCATTTTCGTTTTGGGGGCTGGTCTATACAACTGATAATTGCTAGTGCTGTTTGAACTGTCTGTATGTCACGATATGTCACGTTTGTCAACATTATGATGACACTCTTAGTGTTATTATTTCTGAGAAACATGTCTGTACATATATATCATTTGACCCTTTATCAATGACGCCCAGTAAATGATAATTAAAAGAGACGTAAAATCAAACTCATTCCAACACTGCCAATGTTAAACTTACTTGTACAGTTCCGACCTGTGAAACCGGGAGCACAGGTGCACTTGTACTCAAGTTTGCTTGACTTCCCTGAGTCTCTGCATGTGCCTCCATTAGCACATGGATTGCTAGCACAAGGATCATTGTTGACTGCAAATTGAAACATAAATGCCTTTCAAAATGAGAACAACTACTTAATCAGGGTCATGGTTTAAATACACGGGGCGGTTTTTGAAAAGTGATTATCAGACTGTAGATCAACATGACAGTTTTTGAAACGTGATTATCAGACTGTAGATCAACATGACATTTTTTAAACGTGATTATGAGACTGTAGATCAACATGACAGTTTTTGAAACGTTATTATCAGACTGTAGATCAACATGACAGTTTTTGAAACGTGATTATCAGACTGTAGATCAACATGACAGTTTTTGAAACGTGATTATCAGACTGTAGATCAACATGACAGTTTTTGAAACGTGATTATCAGACTGTAGACAGGGGATGGTAGACAGGATAAAAGTGTGCCAGTATTTTTTTAGACGTGATTATCAGGGTGTGACCGGTATGAGAGTTTCTAAAGGTTGATAATGAGGGTGTGGACGGTATGACAGTGTATGTCAAGTCTCAACCTGTAACATGGCCGAAATTATTTCATCTGGAAACTTTGATTTTGTGTATAACACGTCCATATTTATGTAAGTGAGAAAGTGAGTATGGTTTTACGCCGCTTTTAGCAATATCCCAGCAATATCACGACGGAGACACCAGAAATGGGCTTCACACATTGTACCCATATGGGGAATCGAACCCGGGTCTTCGGCGTGACGCGCGAATGCTTTAACCACTAGGCTGCCCCTCCGCCTCAATATTTATGTAAAATCCAACCGATAAGAGACATTTAATAGATTAACTCAACGACAAGCGAAATTCATGCAACAAGCTGTATTATCTGCCTGTGGCCTTTCTCCCAAATAAATTGTCTGTCTCGGTTACAAGACGTACATACATTGATGAATTGCTCACAGCATTGACACCTAATGTGTTAATACCGTCCTGATACTTACAACATTGGTCAATGCTAAAACTTACAAAAACAGAATCCTGATCTTCTGTGGGACGTCTTGAGATAATATATCTCTTTATTGCCACACATCCTCGTCAAGATCGTAAACGGCCTGTAGCATTTCCTCACCCAGACCTTGTTGCACATCGTGGATTTGTTCCCGGTTTTCCCTTAAAGAAAACTTAAAAGCTACATTAAATTCAAATGCATGTAATATGGTGCATTAAATTGTGCTCACTATTTACTTGCAGTTCAGAAGATCTTAATGAACAATACTTGTAAGAGACAGAGCGAGCGAGTTCCTGATAATGCTAACATTACTTTTAAGGCAGATTGCACAGTGGTACAAACACATGTCATTGCATCAACACAACACAAAAACATTAACGCGTAACATCAGAAGCTACAGGGCTTCGTCGTACATCTGTGATATCACACACAATCACACATCTAACCACCCTGTAACCCCATGTTGTCCCAAACTATCACACCATCCAACCACACTGTGACCCCATGTTCTCCCAAACTATCACACCATCCAACCACAGTGTAATCCCATGTTCTCCCAAACTATCACACCATCCAACCGCAATGTAACCCTATGTTCTCCAAAACTATCACACATCTAACTACACTGTGACCCCATGTTCACACAGCTCACTCAATGTAACCACATGTCACTCCATGTTATCACACACAATTGCACCACGTAAACACAATGTGACCCTATGTTATCACACACAATCACACCATGTAAACACATGTTACCATATGTTATCACACAGTCACACCATGTAAACACATGTGATCCTATGTAATCACACACAATCACACCATGTAACCACATCTGACCCTTTATCACACACCATCACACAATGCAACAACACCCTATGTCCCACAAATCTACAGCAGTTGAGAAGAGTGAGTGGCGACGGTCTTACCGCTTCTGTAGACAGGGATTTGGGTGCCACATCGATTGGTTCCTCCTGGATCCCGGTTAAGCAGTTCCCATTTCCCGGGGGCCGCATACCAACCAGGTGTTAGGTTATAGTCGTCGACAATGAGCGGTCTTCCTAATGTCTTTGGGTCGCGATTCTCGATGTTCTCAAGTAGTGTATAGTTCTTGCATGGATCTGTCCGGAAGGTATGAACACAGATGTTTAGGAACTATGTACCAGGCAATCTGTTTAGACTTGGTTGGTCGGTTGGTCTGGTGTGTAACGCCGCACATCAGCAATATTCCAGCTATATGGCGGCGGTCTGTAAATAATGGAGTCTGGACCAGACAATCCAGTGATTAACATCATCTACGCAATTGGGATACAATGAAAGACTAGGCCTGCCTGCTGTAACTGGCGACTGTGCAGCACTCAGACATGGTCTCGGCATATACTTATATATTGCCTAACTGGTAAACAATTACAGTAAGTACTACAGACATGTAGCTGGAGTACAGCTGAAAGCGGCGTTAAACAACATACAAACACACCAAGGTCTAACTATACTTTTGTGAACAACAGGTGCTGGACATTTGGCTAGAATTCAGATGACATTTTGAATAGAGTTTTGTTAGAACGAGGGGGGTCAAGTGGTTGGAAATCGAAATTCCTAGCAGTTAGATGTTATCATGTTACCAATAAAATCGAAGGACATTATCCCGAGGTGTGGACAGAATGGCCTTCTTTAGTACAGCCAGGTTACTTCATGTCATTTATGCAGACACATTATAACCTGAGTGTTCACTTAGTACCTTAACAAGGCTACACGTCATGATAAATATGGTAGAAATGTACACAGAGGAAGGTGAGATTGTGAGTGAATCCTGTCCTTCGCGGTATCAAAACTCTAAACACTTAGGAGTGATATCTGATCAGCATCTGAGCATGAAACACCACGTGACCCAGTGTGCTAAGCATAATCTTCATGATATTGGAAAGCTACGAACATCTCTCACAAATGATTCATACTAATGTATCTCTCGTCTTCGCTCGTATTGACTATGACAACAACCTCCTTGCTTAAGTAAAAGCAAATCTTCGGACTTCAGAGTTTACGTGTGGCTTACAAATGTTACAACCATCTTGCACCATCATACCTCAGAGAACCCTCCACTCACAATATCAACATCTTAGTCTGCTGTCCTCACAGAACCCTCCACTCACAAGATCAACATCTTAGTCTGCTGTCCTCACAGAACCCTCCACTCACAAGATCAACATCTTAGTCTGCTGTCCTCACAGAACCCTCCACTCACAAGATCAATATCTTAATCTGCTGCCCTCACAGAACCCTCCACTCACAAGATCAACATCTTAGTCTGCTGCCCTCATAGAACCCTCCACTCACAAGATCAATATCTTAGTCTTCTGCCCTCATAGAACCCTCCACTCACAAGATCAATATCTTAGTCTTCTGCCCTCATAGAACCCTCCACTCACAAGATCAACATCTTAGTCTGCTGTCCTCACAGAACCCTCCACTCACAAGATCAACATCTTAGTCTGCTGTCCTCACAGAACCCACAACTCACAAGATCAACATCTTAGTCTGCTGTCCTAACAGAACCCTCCACTCACAAGATCAACATCTTAGTCTGCTGCCCTCATAGAACCCTCCACTCACAAGATCAATATCTTAGTCTTCTGCCCTCATAGAACCCTCCACTCACAAGATCAACATCTCAGTCTGCTGTCCTCACAGAACCCTCCACTCACAAGATCAACATCTTAGTCTGCTGCCCTCACAGAACCCTCCACTCACAAGATCAACATCTTAGTCTGCTGTTCTCACAGAACCCACAACTCACAAGATCAACATCTTAGTCTGTTGTCCTAACAGAACCCTCCACTCATAAGATCAACATCTTAGTCTGCTGTCCTCAGAGAACCCACAACTCACAAGATCAACATCGTAGCTTGTTGTCCTAACAAGATCAACATCTTAGTCTACTGCCCTAAAGAAACCTCCGCTCACAAGATCAACATCTTAGTCTGTTGCCCTCATAGAACTCTCCACTCACAAGATCAACATCTTAGTCTACTGCCCTAAAGAAAACTCCGCTCACAAAAATCAACATCTTAGTCTGCTGCCCTCATAGAACCCTCCACTCACAAGATCAACATCTTAATCTGCTATCCTCACAAAACCCTCCAATCACAAGATCAACATCTTAGTCTGCTGTCCTCACAGAACCCTCCACTCACAAGATCAACATCTTAGTCTGCTGTCCTCACAGAACCCACAACTCACAAGATCAACATCTTAGTCTGCTGTCCTCACAGAACCCTCCACTCACAAGATCAACATCTTAGTCTGCTGCCCTCATAGAACCCTCCACTCACAAGATCAACATCTTAATCTGCTATCCTCACAAAACCCTCCACTCACAAGATCAACATCTTAGTCTGCTGTCCTCACAGAACCCTCCACCTACAAGATCAACATCTTAGTCTGCTATCCTCACAAAACCCTCCACTCACAAGATCAACATCTTAGTCTGCTCTCCTCACAGAACCCTCCACTCACAAGATCAACATCTTAGTCTGCTGTCCTCAGAGAACCCACAACTCACAAGATCAACATCTTAGTCTGCTGTCCTAACAGAACCCTCCACTCACAAGATCAACATCTTAGTCTGCTGCCCTCATAGAACCCTCCACTCACAAGATCAATATCTTAGTCTTCTGCCCTCATAGAACCCTCCACTCACAAGATCAACATCTCAGTCTGCTGTCCTCACAGAACCCTCCACTCACAAGATCAACATCTTAGTCTGCTGCCCTCACAGAACCCTCCACTCACAAGATCAACATCTTAGTCTGCTGTCCTCACAGAACCCACAACTCACAAGATCAACATCTTAGTCTGCTGTCCTAACAGAACCCTCCACTCATAAGATCAACATCTTAGTCTGTTGCCCTCATAGAACCCTCCACTCACAAGATCAACATCTTAGTCTGCTGTCCTCACAGAACCCTCCACTCACAAGATCAACATCTTAGTCTGCTGTCCTCACAGAACCCTCCACTCACAAGATCAACATCTTAGTCTGCTGTCCTCACAGAACCCTCCACTCACAAGATCAACATCTTAGTCTTCTGTCCTCAGAGAACCCACAACTCACAAGATCAACATCTTAGTCTGCTGTCCTCACAGAACCCTCCACTCACAAGATCAACATCTTAGTCTGCTGTCCTCACAGAACCCTCCACTCACAAGATCAACATCTTAGTCTGCTGTCCTCACAGAACCCTCCTCTCACAAGATCAACATCTTAGTCTGCTGTCCTTACAGAATCCCCCACTCACAAGATCAACATCTTAGTCTGCTGTCCTCACAGAACCCTCCACTCACAAGATCAACATCTTAGTCTGCTGTCCTAACAGAACCCTCCACTCACAAGATCAACATCTTAGTCTGCTGCCCTCACAGAACCCTCCACTCACAAGATCAACATCTTAGTCTGCTGTCCTCACAGAACCCTCCACTCACAAGATCAACATCTTAGTCTGCTGTCCTAACAGATCCCTCCACTCATAAGATCAACATCTTAGTCTGTTGCCCTCATAGAACCCTCCACTCACAAGATCAACATCTTAGTCTGCTGTCATCACAGAACCCTCCACTCACAAGATCAACATCTTAGTCTGCTGCCCTCATAGAACCCTCCGCTCACAAGATCAACATCTTAGTCTGCTGTCCTCACAGAACCCTCCACTCACAAGATCAACATCTTAGTCTGCTGTCCTCACAGAACCCTCCACTCACAAGATCAACATCTTAGTCTGCTGTCCTCATAGAACCCTCCTCTCACAAGATCAACATCTTAGTCTGCTGTCCTCACAGAACCCTCCTCTCACAAGATCAACATCTTAGTCTGCTGTCCTCACAGAGCCCTCCACTCACAAGATCAACATCTTAATCTGCTATCCTCACAGAACCCTCCACTCACAAGATCAACATCTTACTCTGCAGCCCACACAGAACCCTCCACTCACAAGATCAACAACTTAGTCTGCTGACCTCACAGAATCCCCCACTCACAAGATCAACATCTTAGTCTGTTGCCCTCACAGAACCCTCCACTCACAAGATCAACATCGTAGCTTGTTGTCCTTACAAGATCAACATCTTAGTCTACTGCCCTAAAGAAAACTCCGCTCACAAGATCAACATCTTAGTCTGTTGCCCTCATAGAACTCTCCACTCACAAGATCAACATCTTAGTCTACTGCCCTAAAGAAAACTCCGCTCACAAGATCAACATCTTAGTCTGCTGCCCTCATAGAACCCTCCACTCACAAGATCAACATCTTAATCCGCTATCCTCACAAAACCCTCCACTCACAAGATCAACATCTTAGTCTGCTATCCTCACAGAACCCTCCTCGCAGACCTATATCCTCTAGTTTTTCTTTTACAGCATCTAAAAGGAACTGTCTTCCCGATATCATCAGAACTGCTAACTGCTGTCCCTTCTGTCAAATCACAGCTCATGGCTTACTTGTTTAATGCATCCTACAATTTACAGCCTTAAACTTTCTGATAAAGCACATCATGATTGTGAGTTGCGCTATGTAAATGCGTGGATTTGTATGATTAGGTAACATTTTCAGTATTGCATGTCAGATTAATGGTTAATGTAAGGTCCACAGAATGAACTGTATCCAGTAAAGCCCGTGTTACAGATATCCATCTCTTGGTCTGGGTATTGATATTGACAATAGAGATCGATAATCGTTGCTCGATTATCTATAAACAATGGAGACGAAATTAAAGCAAAATACCACAAATGCCACAAATGCATATAGTTCACATCACTGGTGAGTTGTGACATGGTTTGCATGGATCGTCAACAAAACATAACTGAAACATAAATCAGATGTAGACCATGAATAAAGTCCTAAATTTGTATAAACAATTATTTTACTAAACGTTTTTATCACAAAAGTAAATTTACGATATCATCGTTATCACAGTTTTAATATCGATATTCATAAAGAAATTCCCAATTACGATATTTCCGATTATCGATCACTTTAGCCAGCACTACCCATCATTTGTGAGACGAATAAGAATATCCTTGTTTACCTACAGGATGTTTCTCAAAAACAAGGGAACAGTTAGGAATGCACAATACCACTTATGTAACAGATAGTATATTTGGGATCACACTCTCTCAGTAAAGTGGAGATTCTAGTGCTTTGGTGGGGGATTGACTACCATCCGGAATTCAAACCTGCGTCTGAGTGAGTGAGGCACCCAGTCGCCAGTTACAGTCAGCGATCCAACCAACTCAGCCAACGCAGCTTCCGCAAAATGGAAGTCTGATGACTGGTAGTTAGGAGATTGCAGTACAGGCATTGATGGGCCGAAGGAAATTAATGTAGTTTAGGACTGTGAGACGGACTGTGTTGTTCCGTATTTCATAAACTAAAAGCAAAGAGTTAGTTGGTTCAGTGGGTTTGAGCATCAGTAACCGACTTACCCTGACTGTGGCAGGAATGACAGATGAACAGGAGAAGCAGAAGGGCTGCCTAGAAGAATCAACATTCGAAACAAGTAATTGTCTGCTCCAAAATTAAACAGAAACATTTTGTGAAAAATGCTTATCTTTTTCCAAAACGTTCACTGATATTTAAAATTTGCTTAATGGCGGGTACCATTAAGCAAATTTTAAATATCAGTGAACGTTTCTTACAGCTCGATATTGATTGATTTATTTGTTGATAAGCAAATAAGGGGATCCTCAACTGACAACTTTTCAAAAATGATAAGTTCTTGGTATGTGGAATGCTGGCATGTTACTGAGGACTGTTGCAAGAGATGTTGCTTGTCATCCTTCGACTGTCAGCCGATTGGTCAGAATCAGCCAGTTAGTGACGTTTAAAGACCGTCAGCGTTCGGGTCGACCGTCACAACTCTTAGGGAAGATACAGACCTTCCGTGTCACACGACCTCATCAGGTTATGCCAATAGCGCGATTACAGAGTGGCGTCCATGTCGTCGTTTGTCAAGTCGCCGAAAACCGGTCAGGTGTAAAGTCAGACGACCTATCAGATGTCCTCTATATTGGTGTCTATATTGGACCTATCAGATGTCCTCTATATTGGTGTCTATATTGGACCTATCAGATGTCTCTATATTGGTGTCTATATTGGACCTATCAGATGTCTCCTATATTGGTGTCTATATTGGACCTATCAGATGTCCTCTACATTGGTGTCTATAGTGGACCTATCAGATGTCCTCTGTCTATATTGGATTCAGGTGTCTATATTGGACCTATCAGATGTCCTCTATATTGGACCTATCAGATGTCCCTATATTGGACCTATCAGTGTCTATATTGGACCTTATCAGATGTCCTCTATATTGGTGTCTATATTGGACCTATCAGATGTCCTCTATATTGGTGTCTATATTGGACCTATCAGATGTCCTCTATATTGACCTATCAGTGTCTATATTGGACCTATCAGATGTCCTCTATATTGGTGTCTATATTGGACCTATTGATGTCCTCTATATTGGGTCTATATTGGACCTATCAGATGTCCTCTATATTGGTGTCTATATTGGACCTATCAGATGTCCTCTATATTGGTGTCTATATTGGACCTATCAGATGTCCTCTATATAGTGTCTATATTGGACCTATCAGATGTCCTATATTGGTGTCTATATTGGACCTATCAGATGTCCTCTACATTGGTGTCTATATTGGACCTATCAGATGTCCCTATATTGGTGTCTATATTGGACCTATCAGATGTCCCCTATATTGTGTCTATATTGGACCTATCCTATATTGGTGTCTATATTGGACCTATCAGATGTCCTCTATATTGGTGTCTATATTGGACCTATCAGATGTCCTCTGTCTATATTGGTCAGATGTCCTCTATATTGGGTCTATATTGGACCTATCAGATGTCCTCTATTGGTGTCTATATTGGTGTCTATATTGGACCTATCAGATGTCCTCTACATTGGTGTCTATATTGGACCTATCAGATGTCCCTATATTGGTGTCTATATTGGACCTATCAGATGTCCTCTATATTGGTGTCTATATTGGACCTATCAGATGTCCCTATATTGGTGTCTATATTGGACCTATCAGATGTCCTCTACATTGGTGTCTATATTGGACCTATCAGATGTCCTCTAAATTGGTGTCTATATTGGACCTATCAGATGTCCCCTATATTGGTGTCGTGACTGGTGGCCGAGCTTGTGTTTGGCGCTACAGAATATCTTGGAGGAAATACCGTTTGGCGGAGGTTCACTGATGGTGTGGTGGTGCCTTTCTGTAAACGTGATCCTGTGGTGATCAGACAAAATCTGATCTGTACAACAGTGCATCACATTTCAATGATCATCCCGTGATCACAAGGCCAGTCATCATGGACGACAATGGTAGGCTCCATCGTGCACGTACCGGTAGTGATTTCTCACGTCAAGTGTCGGTGGCTACTCTACCATAGCCTGATCTGAATCCCATAGAGAGTGTGTGGACATTATGTGTCGCAAACTTCGCTAGATATATTGGAACAAGCCCTTTATCCAAAATGGAACGCAATGCCTCACCGTCAAATCCAACGTCTGATACAGTTACTGAGGAGGCGGGTCAGAGATGTTATTCTGTTTACGGAGGTTACACTAGCTATTGACATCGTGCTCGGTTACTGATAGTAATGTCAATTCTTGAGGTTTTATTGCCAGAATCTTGAAAATGACCGGACGTGTTAACGTCAAGCGGCCATAGTGATCAGCACTACAAATGACTTAATTCTTAATCATGTTTGCTGCAGCTCGTCCCATATGTATGGAATCTTGGAATTGACATTGTCGCGTTGTCGCATTGTCGCGTTGTCGCCCTCTCAAATACAAGCAAAATGAGGCAAAATAAACCAAAGCGCGACAATGCGACAACGCGACATATCGGCCATTTGTCACATTGTCGCAATGTCGCATGTCGCGTTTTGAATAATATTTTTTATGCGTCCACAGGGCGACAATGCGACGTAGCGACAATTTTCAAAGTCAAAATATGTCGCGTTGTCGCATTGTCGCCCTATCTAAGATGTGTAAAAAAAGCCTAAAAATTAACTAAAACGCGACACGCGACAATGCGACAATGCCCCTTCTCGGATTCCATACATAAGTGTTTGATTGTTTTTATGTCTGGAATGACCGGAATAACCACTCCACACGAACAATGGTCACATGCTCGAAGTGTTCATCAACACTAGAGTCGGTCGTACTCGTCCATGAGAAGGAGGTTCTGTCGGAGTGCAGCAGTATAACACCAGGAGCACACCCAGAACGTCAACCCTGTAGCAACTATCGTTGTGACCCACTGAGGCAAACGACTGAGTCCCTTCAAAGTAGCTTTCTGCCACACGCAGTCTCAATGGCCTGTGAAGTCTAGACAGAGTTTCGATTCATCAGTGAAGACTACTGGATTCTAGTCCGGGTCTGTTGAAACAACAAACTCAGCCCATCCTAAACGTGCCTGCCTGTGACGCCAGTTCATTGGAATCCGTGAGTGGAGACCAACCTCATGCCACACGCAATGCATGAGTGGAAATGGTTACGGCACTTCTGTTCCACAAGGCATATCGGAATGTGGAGCAGCAATGAAGTCGTCATGCTGAACACATGTCTTCCGGGTGTGTGGTGAAACGCTGTCGACCACCTGAATGTCACTAGGTAGCTGATCCAAAAGTCTGATATCAATTTCATATGTCCTGTGGATGCTGCATCGACTGACACCAAAAACGAACGACGTCTTTGGCGCTGAGGAGTATAAGTGCATTCGGTTGCTGCAATTCACACTAGCAATTGTTGTAGTGCTGTTTGATAATGATGTGCAACGGTTCCCTCACAATATACCAATTCACATTTTTTGTGCACCGGGGTATTTCAGTCGTGTTGAATCATTTCATCATCGGGACTTTGCCCAAAAGCTTTGTAGTCATTTTAGCAGATGGACACCTTGGCGAAAATTCCCGTTCTTATTCTCCCTTCTCATCATCCTCACCCTCCCCTTCTCCCTTTTCATCATCCTCACCCTCCCCTTCTTCCTTTTCATTATCCTCATCCTCCCCTTCTCCCTTTTCATTATCCTCATCCTCCCCTTCTCCCTTTTCATTAATCTTCCATCCTTACCTTCCATCGTCTTATACTTTCTTCCTCCTCCTCATCATCCTTCTCCTCACATTCCTCTTTCTTCTTTCTCCTTGTTTCCCATCCTCCACCTTCCCTTCTTCCTCCTCCTTCCTCTTCCTCCTCCACCCTTCCCTTCTTCCTCCTCCTTCCTCCACCCTTCCTTCTTCCTCCTCCTCATCCTCCTTCCTTCCCTCCTTCCTCCATCCTCACCTTCTTCCCTTCTTCCTTCCACCCCTTCCTTCCTTCTTCCTCCTCCTCTCCTCTTCCTTCCTTCTTCCTCCTCCTCCTCCTCATCCTTTCCTCCTTCCTTCCATCCTCACCCTTCCCTCCTTCCTCCTCCTCTTCCTCCATCTTCCTCCATTATCCTCCATTCCTCTTCTTTCTCCCTTCTTTCCTCCTCCTTCTCCTCTCTTCTTTCTCCTCATCCCTCCATATTCCTCCTCATCATCCTCCTTTTCATTCTATCCTCCTTCCATTTGTCCATGTCTTCCATTCTATCTTCCTCTTATCCTCTACTCCTCCATTTTCCTTCATCCATGTCAGGTCATGTCCCCATGTGTGTCATTCTTCCTCCATGTCTTGTCTTCTGCTTCTCCTTCCTCCATCTTCTTTTGGTGTGTGTGTCCTTCCTCATCCGGTCTGCTGGGAATGTTGGTCCTTCTCATTATCCTTCCTTTCCATGTGTTCCATTCCGTGTCTCATTTTGTTTCCTTCTTTTCCTTTCTTAGATCCTCAGTCCATCTTCACTCAATCCTCCTCCATTATCCTTGGTCCCTTCGTTATTTCCTCCATTCTTCCTTCTGTGTGTTCTTCTTTGTCTCTCCATCCTTCCTTCTCCTCTTCCTTTTCCTTCTCTCCTGTCCTTGTTTCCTCCTCTCCCATCCATGTCTCCATTCTACTCCATTCTGTTTCCTCCTTGTCCATGTCTTCATTATCCATTGTTCCATTTATCCGTTGTCCATGTCCTCCGTCTTCTTCTCGTCATCCACTTTGCCTGTGTTTCCTTCTCCTTATTCCTTGTCCTCCTTTTCTTTCCTTCTCCTTGTCTTGTCCTCCTTCCTCGTGTCTTCATTCTCGTTCTTCCTCCTGTCCGTGTCCATTGTCCTTCACCTCCTGTCCTTCCTCGTTCCTCATTGTCCACTCTTCAGTCTCTTTCTCTTTTCTCTGTCCTCCTCCTTCTCGTCTCCTTCACTTCCTCCTCCTGTCCACGTTCTCATGTCCTCATTCGTTCTTCCTTCTCTTGTCCTTCTCACTTGTCCTCGTCCTTCCTTGTCCTTCCTCGTTCTTCCTTCTTCTCGTTCTCCTTGTCCTTCTCATTGTCCATGTCTTCTCCTTTCTCCTTCTTCATTCTCATTGTCCACATGTCCTCCTTTTCTCCATTGTCTTCATCCTCTTCCTCCTTCCTCATTATCATTGTCTGTC